CTGTTTTTTTTTTGTTTTCTTTTTCCGTTGCTTTTTGATGACGTTAATTGTTTCTTTACTCTCATATTGATGGTCTTGTTAATCATAATGAATATACTTCAACTAAATAAGTAAACAATGTTTTACCTTCTTATTAGGAATATATGTTGTATAGTTACTATTATCATTATCTATTTTCAAAATTCAATTTTCTTTTTTGTGGTGTATAACATCTTAGTCATCATTATTAATGTTGTAACTATTGTATCATCATTACTTATCAGTGGACAGATTTTCAAACAACGTAAATAATTTCATTTGGCCAAACTTCCTTTTAAAATATTCAGCAGTTATAGAATCCGTTGAAATCAAAGTACGACAATCTACAACCTGACCACTCCACCTTGTGAAACAAATTTTGTAGAGTAGACACTAACGAAAAATGTGTTGTTATTGTCCCCGGGAACACGCTCGCACAGGTGCTTAAACAGCAAACACTACTGTTAAACGAACTTAATACCTAGTGTCTAATTTTATAAGTTACTGTTAATTAATGTAAAAATAATTTACGTTTTGGAGTAATTTTTTATTATTTTTTATTATTATTAGTGGAATTGTAATTTTATTTTATCTAACTAATATATCTTTATCCGTTTGTCGGTGTTATGATTTGAAATATGACCTTTTTTTCATGAAGGTGAGTAGCCGGGCAGGCAAGGATATATTTTGTCTTATTTTGGGTCAGTATTGTTTTGGCCAGGCCTGTGTGCAGAACTGTTCTGCATATGCTTTAAGTGTACACTTCTATTTAGCACCTGTGCAATTGCGTTGTTTTACCTATCTGGTAATTTATGCATCCGTGTGATGCGATTATGTTGTTTTACCTGTGTGGTACTTTATGCATCTGCGTGGTGCAAGCCCCCGGCGCACAAATCCCGTCCTCTCTGGGGATGTGGTTCTTCCGGAGCAGAGACATGTAGGTGAGGGGCCCTACATGCGCCCNTTATAACTCCTTGGTTTAATAAATTTTTTATTTGTGTTTCTACTTCTTGTTTGTGGCAAAGTGGATAACGGTAATTTTTCGCAATAATAGGTACTTAATTATGTCAGTGGAAGTCAGTGTATCGTATTGTTCTAAATAGAAAATGTCGGGAAATTTTGAAATTAATTCAATGATTGATTTTAATTCTTCATCATTAAGGTGGTCTGAACGAATTTGCTTAATTAATGTTTCTATTCTTTGTTTCTTTGAAATCGCCGAATTTTTAAATGACTCAATATTGTTAATATTTGGTTTACTAATAGGTTCTAAGTGTAAATGATCAATTTCTATTTGTTCGTTTTTGTCAGACAAATTAATACATATTAAATAAATTACCTTTTGCTCATTAGTCCGTACAAAACATTCTGAGAATAATATTTTATCATCAATATTAAAACTTTCTAAGTGGTAGTCGGTGTTTACTTCATATTCTGGTAATTGTAATTTTATGACCTGTTCTTGACGCAGTAATAGATGTACAAATTGCCCATTTTTAATGAAGTGTAATGGAATACACATTTTATGCGATTGAATTTTGAGGTAATTTTTGTGATAATTAATCAAAGCACCTGTGGAGATTAAAAATTCCGTTCCTATAATACTGTCTACGCTTAGAAGGTTATTTTCTAAAATGTGAAATTTTATTGGTACACTTGAAATATTTGTTTGAATTGTACCCTCAGAGAAAAAGGGTTGACCATTTATACCGTGTAACTCTATTTTATCTGTTTTATTAATTTCTGGCAAATTATCAAATTTTTGTAATATGTTCACTGAAGCTCCTGAATCTATAAGTAATTCTAAATCTTTCTGAAATAATTTAACTTTGATTAGGGGTAATCCGTCATTTGACTTAATATTAAAAAGTGATAATTTAATCAAGTTACTGTTGGGAATTGAAGAGTCTTTTATTCGTCGGAGTCGGTGCTCTCCTGTTGCGCCTCCGTGAATAAGTTTAAATTTTGCAATTGAGAATTTAATGAACTAGATGGTTCTTCAGAATCCTCGTCTGAACAAATTTCGGCTAATAATTTTATTACTTGTTGTTTCTTAAGTTTAAAACATGAATCTCGGTTGTGACCAGGTTTTTTACAATGGTCGCAAATAATTATTTTTGTATCTTTTTGTTGAAGGGGGGTTTTAGGTTTAAAATTTTGATCATAATTTTCCTTCTTAGGTTTTTCTCTAATTTTATCAGTTTTAGGGGGATTTTCACCTCTAAGTTGTCTAGAGACAGCGTTATTGACTTGTCTTAATTTAAATCCTTTTTCAATATTTTTAGCTTCTTCGAAACATTTACGTAGTTTTGAAATGTTTAGTTTGTAATATATTACTGATTGTAGGGGGTAATTTTGAAAGATAGGCAAAAATTCCTAATTTTTCTACAAAGTCTCTGACTTTGTCAGGAATAGTGGACCTTAAAATTGCGTCTTCTAATTTAGTAATGTCATAATACAAATTTTGGGCCGAATTATCTTTTAGAACCATGGTGCATATTTCTAATACATACTCTTCAAAAGATTTTTCGTCCTCTTATGTGTTTATCAGAAATTCAAGAATATCTGTTATTGAGTATAAGCTACGATTTTTTAATAATCTACGGGGTTCACCCTGAATTTTCGCGAGAATAAAATTTCCTACGATATCTTTTCGTGAGTCATTACATAAATTAATTAAATTATCTAAAACTTTAAACCAGTGAGTTAAGGAAATACCCTTTTCACCTCCATTCAACAATGTTGTAAAAATTGAATCTGAAATTTTATTCGTACTGGTGGGGTTTTGAGATTGTTCTGGTTGCAAAGACATTAATTAATTCGTTTAAAGCACTGGATACAATTAAAAACTACTCACCAGATGATTAGGAGAAAAGATGCTCGATGCATAGAATTGATTTCTGTTGGAATTCCTCGTCAGCTGATTTATTTACGGGTGGATGTAGTTGTGACAAATTCTCGGAATCCCTCTAGTAACCAGTCTGGTGAATGATTGAAGATGAATCTCTGCAAAACCTTTTCGAATCACTAGCGTTGATCTTCGAAGAAATTCCTCTGAAGATCCTACTGACTGCGCCAATTTTGTTACGTCACGACGCGACGCTGAGGACTGGTCGGAACGATCCCTTATGGTCGGCGTACAATACGTTGTTTTTATTCCAGGCACGTTTAACTGGGTGTTGTACTTAATTATTGTAAAAGACACCTTTAATTTACACCAGGACGTTGCCTTTCAATGTAAAATAATAGGAGTTTTAACAATAATAGAACAATTGTAAAGTCTTCGTATTTCGAACACTAACCCTTCGATAACACTTAATCGAACCAATTCGATATTATACGAAACAGCATTAAACGTTTAAAAAGAGGTCAAAGAGGTACAAAACCAAACTGAGAACTAACTTAACAACTACTATCTGTCCCTTGTATTCATATGGATCTTTAACTACTAATGACATGAAAGTAAAAAAGTGTTTATATTGTTAGAACATAACAGTACATCTTAGCCTTCTCCAAGTTTCGTTTACATTTTTCTAAAAATGAAATGTGGATTACAAGTGGATAAGCATATTAGCTGATGTAGTTAGTCAGTACAATAATACAAAACATAGAACAATAGGAATGAAGCCTAATGATGTTATTAAGAGACTTGAAACATTTATTATCAACTGCTTACAACTACATAAAATTAACCAGTATAAATTCCAAGTTTAAAGTAGGTGATCGTGTGAGAATTTCTAAAGTACGGGGAATATAGGGAGAGAACGTTAACCGGTTTCTTTCAGGATTTGGGTGTTTCTGACGAACCAGGGATAGTTTAGTGGGGAACGAAGGCTCCGCATGTAGGTGCCTTGAAGAGGTTTCAGGCGGTGAGGAAGGGCGCAGCCTCAGACGGGAATGGCGTAGGAGCAAATGCTTTTGATTATTGCGTTAAACGCACGGATTTTCGTACGTTGGGCGATGGAGTGGTTTCGAAAGAAAGGCTTAAGTGCCATGAATGCACCCATTGCCTTGTTTCGGATCACTTCCCAAGTGCTTCGGGGGTGTGTTTCTGTCTGAGCGATCTAACCATCGAAGGATGCGCTGCGGAATTCAGTGAGAAGAGTTTTCAGTTCTCGTTGAAGAGCGTTTACTTCTGCACGGTGTGCGGGGATACGGTGTCTATTACACAGACGTCGGGCCTTGTTTTTCCTCTTAAGGAGGTCAAAAATATTTTCGGGAAGGGTTCTGTATTTGGTAGGCGTGGGGCGGGAGGTAGTGGAGAGTTCGATAGCGCTGGTAATCTCGTTTGAAAGGAGATTCACAGCTTCGTCAAGTTCCGCTATTGTGCGAATGGGAGTGCACTTGAATGAAGATGTTTCGAGGGTGTAAAGGAGGTGTAGCCAATCTAGTGACGTGATTGGGTTTGGGGGGTTGCTGATTGGGCGGCCGACTTCAATCAGGGCGTCAATGACGATAGGGTAGGTGGAAAGTGTAACATTTTTTGTGACAAAAATGTCAAGGATGTCAGGGAATGTGTTGTGCGGGGCGGGGAGGAACGTGGGATCAGAGGGTGCTTCAACTGTGAGGTTGAAGTCAAGAATTTTGGCACGAAGGGAAATGCCTTTACTATTGGTTTGTCGACAGCCTCAAGAGACGTGTTTAGCGTTAAAATCGCCGGCGACGATAGTTGGAGCGCCTGGGGGGAGTAGAAGGGGAAGCTCAGAAAGGTCTCTGTCCGAAGGGGGACAGTAGAGAGAAATAATCCTAAGAGGGCCGGTGGCTAACGAGATTGCGATGCCTATTGTTTCCAATGAGTTTGTGGTCAAAGAGATGGGCCTGTGTTTAAGTGAATTCCTAACCAGAATGGCGACACCGCCGGCATTACCGTTTTCACGGTCCTTTCTGTAGGATGAGAAGTTCGGGACAAAAAGTTTGATTTTCTCGGACAGGTGATGCAAGCAACACCGATTGACTTATCCTCAAGGAAGTGCTCGAGTTCAGTCAATTTACCTCTAATGCTTTGGGCATTCCAGGTAACTATACGAAGGTTGTCTGACTGGGCGGTGTTAGACATTGGTGGTTTGTTGTAAGGCGGCAACAATGCTGGCGACTATGGTTTGAGCAATGACTTGAAGTCTTTGTTCCAAACTTGGGATTGCAACTACAGCTGGTGAAGTGCTTGTGTTGCGTTTTTGGGTGGGGGGAGGGGGGGCGGTTCTCACTGCCTTGGCGTAGGACTTTTGGGAGGGTGCTACCAAAGTGGTAGCCGAAGGATGAGCGGTAGTTTTTGTGCCTTGAGAAGCAACGGGAGTGACAACTTTCTGGTGAAGGGGAGGTCTTTTTGGGAACCTTGGGGCAGCCGCGGTAGGTGGCGCGGTGGTTCCCTTTGCAATTGGCCCAAGTGGGAGTAGCATCCTTCTTGTCCTTGGATTTGCACTCGGCAGTGATGTGGTTGCGGCCGCAGAATGCGCAGACCCAGGCTGCGTGGCAGTAGTTGGCTGTATGGAAAAATTTCATACAGCGGCGGCATTGAGGAACATCCTTTGTAGCTCTTTTTGGCTCAACTTTGATGTTTAGGCCACAGAGTTTACCAAGGTCGAAGATTGCCTTGGAATTTGAGGCGGTCTTATCAAGACGGACGGAGAGAAGGGGTCAGGTTTTATTACCTTTAGACATACGATGTATGCCTTTGCTAATAAAGCCTTTGTGGCTTAGTTCGGACTCGTGTCCTCTGTTGGGATGTCTTCGCAGACACCACGGATAACTACGTGAAGGTCACAGTCTTGCTGTAGCTGGTTCGTCGAAAATTGGACTTTGGATTCGTCCAGGAAAAAGGATAGACGACGAAAATCGTCGATGGAGCTGGGCTGTTGTCGGCGGCGCTCGTTAGCGCGTTTGGCGGCTTTGACGAAACCGTCGTTCTCTCGTCGGTCCCTGTGCGGTAGACGGGTAGCGGCACTGGCGGAAATGACCTTGGTCGCATTGGCTGGTGTTGGGTCGGATTGGTTGGCGTCGGTATGTGGAGCTACGGATGAAGACTCCATATCTTTGGTCATGGGCGTAGGGGATGCAGCGATGGAGTGTAAACGAATGAATTCGTTTACTTTGGCGAGTTTGGCCTGAAGGTCACTCGCAAGGACAATGGCGTCCGCAAGGGAACATCCCTCCAAGAGTGCGGAGCTCTTGGAGGTAGCCATGCTGAAAATGGCCAGCTAACTGGACTTTATGTGACTTCGCACAATCAGGAAAATAGGTTTAAAATGAGGAAAATAAATTGACTAGGTTAAAAACGTTTGTTGTATTAGTTAGGGTACGTTGTAGTTCAAAGGGACATTGCGTACTCCGTTCCAGAGAACTGTTGGTGAGTTAAAAAAAGTATAATAAAGTAAACTCTTACCTATTACGGTTGGGCTGAATGTGTTGATGGCCTTGAGTAGAAGATTTGTCCAGTAACGGACAGTTTTGTTGAACGCCTGGTTCGCTGGAAAGCTCTGGTCGTTTCGGTGATACCAATCGGTGCGGTGCAGGTGATGTACGTACAACGAAGGTCGAGCGCAGACTGCTTGTACTGAGAAAAAAAAAAAAAAAACTTTTGGGTGTTTCATTCCCACCAGCCAGTAATGCCAGTGGGCGGGCAGTCCCTCCGGACTATGCCGGAAGGTAGGGCGGAAGGCCCTCTTCAGCCTGCTTTCAGGAATCGTGGGAATGGGTGGGTGGTGGTTCGGGTGAGAAAGATGAGACGGACGAAATGAAGACAGAAGAGAGTGAAAGATTATCTGTGGAATATTGCTGCCTCAGCATTTGCCTAAGTGATCCAAGGAAACCACAGAAAAACTTGGACCAAGGCAGACGGACCCGGAATCGAACCGGCGTCCTCCCGAATGCTAAGCAATGGTCTAGACCTCTAGGCCATGCCGCTCGGTCAACTTGTACTGAGGAAAGTATCGGCTATTTATACTAACCCCAGTACTAAGCGAGGATTGGGATGAAGAGGGTTTGACAGTGGAGTGGTGAGAGAAGGACGAAAATTAACGATAAAAACCATTTTGTTTTTAACACTGATTTCGCGGTGAAAAATGAAAAAAACAGATAGCGGGAAACGATAGGGCATGCATGAAAACGTAAGGGTAGAAAAAAGAAACGTAACTCTTTGACTTTCACTTTGAATTTTCTTTGTTCAATTTTTTTTTCACATTAATATGCCAAACTTTTGTTGCAACGTTTCCATTTTCGGTGTATAAATCAATTTTATCAAAACCTCCTGTGTGACTAATTTCCTTTACACCACATAAAACAGGAATATATATATATACAAGAATAGACGTATACACGTCAAAAATGATAAATATCACAAAATTTCAAGTTAAAATTTACTTGTTATAAACTAAGCACTAAAATTAATAAAAAAAAAATAATTACAATAAACTTACCTAAACAAATATTTACAGACACAGTACAATTTCTTGCTATGTAACATCTTCAGATTGGATTAGCAGGGTACACGGTACAATTGCCAGTATTATAAATTTCAGATTGTAAAGTTTTAGAAGTATGATGTGCACACTCTGAACTGATAACTATTTATTGAAATTATTTAGGCTAATCAATGCTCTCAAAATACTGATGTCAACAACATTTCCAAATAATTAGGTAAATGCTGAATAATTACATTTGTAGGTAGCAAGCAGTTAATATTTCAATTTCAATATTTAAAAGCAGTTTAACAGAAAATTTGAAGAAGCAACAGTAGTAACTACATCAGTGTCAGAAACGTGTAAAATTAAACATGTCAGTTAAAAGTGTGCACAGCCGGCTTCAAAGTGTGCTTATATATTAAAAATTTGAATAGGTAAGTTTTATTTTGTTTATCCAGGTAAAACATTTTTAAATATGATGGAATTAGTTTCCCCATTACATTGAATAATGTTAATAAATTTGAAAAAATGAACAATTTATCGATTAATATCTTCACAATTGATAAAAATACTATCACGCCACTCTCTCTTAGTAAGACAGATTTTTCACCTCGTATTAATTTATTAATGGTTCCATGTATAGAAAAAAATGTTAATGATATGGTTGATAGTGATGATGAAAGCATTTTTTCAGAATCTGATAGTGA